CGGGAAGGTTCCCACTAACAATGCTGCTCATCCTAGGAGGTTTAATCTAAAACTAGCTGAGGTGCAATCAAGAAAGCTTAACAGGCTTCCGGTCAAGATGGCAGCATAGATAAACGCAGTAATCACCTCCTCCCACAACCACATCAAAATTACAACTGAAATGCCCTGGCCAGTGTCCTCAGCGGTTAGAGCATTGACTGGCCTACCAAAGAGTTGCAGGTTCAATCCCTGGCCCCAGTTAGGGTCATGCGGGAGGCAACCAATTGATGTGTCTGTCCCACATCAACGTTTCTCTCTATCCCTTCCACTCTCTAAATATCAATGGAAAAACTCCTTGGATGAGAATTAACCAAAAAAAAAAAAAAGGAAGCATAACATATGCAAATCAGGTCTCTAAAACCAATCACACTGGCTATGTTGAACATGGAACATTTTTATGGGCTGAAACCTGCATTTCTGTATGTTCCCCCTACTGAACCAAGCAGGTTGGTAGGACAGTACCATGGCCTCAACCCCTGGTTCTCAGGAACAGGAACAATTCTCACGGCTTTTATCACTGCACCAAAGGTTTGAATCACTGCAGTTAAGATTACAAGAAGAGATCTTTCTTTCTTATAGCTGCATAGTACTCCATCATGTATATGTACCACCGCTTTTTTATCCATTCGTCTAATGATGGACATTTGGGCTGTTTCCAGATCTTAGCTATTGTAAATAGTGCTGCTACAAACATGGGGACACATATATTCTTTCTGATTGGTGTTTTGGGCTTCTTAGGGTATATTCCTAGAAGTGGGATCACTGGGTCAAATGGAAGTTCAATTTTTAATTTTTAATTTTTTGAGGTAACACCATATTGTTTTCCATAGTGGCTGCACCAGTCTGCATTCCCACCAGCAGTGCACTAGAGTCCCCTTTTCTCCACACCCTCGCCAGCACTTGTTGTTTGATGATTTGTTGATGGCGGCCATTCTGACAGGTGTGAGGTAATACCTCATTGTTGTTTTACTTTGCATCTCTCTGATGATTAGTGATGTTGAGCATTTCTTCATACATCTCTTAGCCATTTTATGTCCTATTTGGAGAGGTGTCTATTTAGTTCCTCTGCCCATTTTTTAATTGGGTTCGTTGTCTTCCTTTTGTTGAGTTGTATGAGCACTCTCTATATATTGGAAATTAACCCCTTATCTGATATATCATTAGCAATTATGCTCTCCCATACAGTGGGATAAAAAGATCTCTTATCCTTTGAGATGACATGGAAGGACCTGGAAAGTGTCATCCTAAGCGAAACAAGCCAAACAGAGAAAGACAAGTATCATATGATCTCACTTATTTGTGGAATATAATGAACATAACAGTCTGAGGAATGGGGTAGTCCCAGAGACGTGGAAGTGGGGTACAGACTGACAATCCCCAGAAGAGGGGGTGGGGGGAAGATAAACCACAGAACTTATATGCATGTATGCATGAACAATGGGCATGGACAACAAAGCTGGGGAGTGGGCGGGGAGGGGGGGAATCAGTGGGGGGGAAAAGGAGAAACATCTGTAACAAAAATAAATTAATTAAATAAAAAAAAAAGATTACCAGAAGACTCTAAAACAAAGTTTGGAAGGAAGATATAAAACTGTCTCTATTTTAAATGGCATGAGATGAGTACTAGTGTAGAAAATTCTAAGGGAGCTACAGAATAACTACCAGAACTAGTATGATTTTAGCAAGATTAAAGGATGTAAGATTAGTATTAAAAAATACTTTTACGTACTAGTAGAAAACTGGAAAATGTAGATTTTTGAGGGTTCTACTTATAATAGTTTTAAAAACTATAAAACAGCAATGAACTTATTTAAAAAAAAAAGTGAGACTTCTATCTATATAACACTGACGTAAAAAACTAAATAAAATCTCAATAACTGGGGAGACATAGCATGTCCAAGGACTTGAAGTGTCAATATTGTTAAAATGGAAATTCTCCCAAAGTTGATCTATAGATTTGAAGCAATCTCAATCATAATCCCAACTAGATTTTTTGTTGGTGATGGTGGTTTTTAATAATTGACAAACCAAGCTGATGAACAAAACAGACCCAGAGACAAAGAAGTAGGGATGAGACTGATAAACCTCAGAGGAGGAGGGGGAAGAAAGAGATAAACCAAAAAACTTATATGCATATATGCATAACCAATGGACATAGACAATGATACTGTGAGATGGGGGGAGTGGGGAGGAGGGTGTCAACGGGGGAAAAAGGAGAAACATCTTTAACAAAAATAAATTAATTTAAAAAGTATATAATTAACAAGCCGATGCTAAGATTTGGAAACGCCGAAGGCTGAAGTGCTCAAAGCAATCTTAAAACAGAAGGACTAAGACACAGGACTTCCATTATCTGAGTCCAAGACTTACTCTGAAGCTACAGCTGTCCGGACTGCCCAGAACTTACTAAGGCACAACAAACAGCAGGAGTCCATTTGATTTGTCACAAAGACACCAAAGCAATTGAATGAGGAAACAAAATCTTTACAACAGTGCTGAGCAACTGAATATCCACCTGGAAAGACTCATATCACAGACAAGCATTAATTCAAGATGGATCAGAAACCTAAATATAAAGGTCAAAATGATAAAGTTTTTAGAAGAATAGTAAGTCACAGTCTGAGAAAAAATTATTTCCAAAACATACAGCTGTCCAAGGACTGGTGTTCAGGACATAAGAATTCTTAGAGCTCAATAATAAGAAGGCAAAATGCCCTGGCCAGTTTGGCTCAGCGGTTAGAGCATCAGCCTGTAGTCCAGAGAGACTGGAGTTCGGTTCCCGCTAAGGGCGTGTACCTCGGTTGCAGTTTGGCCCCGGTTCCTTTCACGTCTGTTTTGCGCGCTCGCTCGCTCTCTGAACAAAAAATGAAAAAATGTCCTCAGGTGAGGATAAGAAAAAAAAAAGACGAAGAGCCTCAGGGAATACTCGCGATACTCACGACACTGGCGAGAACTGGATGCACAAAGGGGCAGTTAAGACATGGAGATGCTGATTTGGGCAATGAACACTGATTCCACAATAAGCTACCACTTTGTGTTCGGCAGACAGCCACCACCACATGCCCGCAAAGCTGTGCCACAGCCAGAGCTCCCAACATCATTGGTAGGAGTGTAAATGTACAACCACTTTAGAGAAACATCTGGTAGTTACTTGTAAAACTAAACATACAACTACCCTATGACCCGGCGTTCCATTCCCAAGTATTTACCCAAGAGAAATGAAAACATATGTCCACAAAAAGACTTGTAAAGAATGTTCAAAGCAGCCTTAGTCATAGCAGCTAAGAGAGAAAAAAGACCAGGTGTCCATCAATAGGAAAGTGGGCACCAAATACTATGTCCATATAAAGAAATACTTCTCAGCACCAGAACGGCAGGGACCACAGCCACCTGCAGCACGGATGGATTTCAAAACCACAGGAAGAGCACATCCCACATGGCTCCATTCACATGACGTCCAGAGCAGTGAACTAAACTGTGACCCAGAAGGAGCAGGCAGTGGTTACCCTGGTGGTCATGCGATTTCTGGGGTGGGAATGTTTTGTAGTGAAAGGGATTATGGCTGCACAGTTGTGCACCATCGTCATGAATCCCTCACTGGCACACTTAAGATTCCATTTCATTGTATGTAAGTTTTATCTAAAAATAAAAAAGAACCATAAACAAATACTGAACTCTGGCAAAATTACTTGGGAGAAAGTGTACTGATGTCTGCACTTCCTTTGGAATGTGTAGATAAAACATGGGTTGGTAGATGGACAGGCATGTGAATGAACAGTTGCACAGATTATGTAACAAAGAATTTAAAAAACTATTTCACATACAGTTGTGTACAGTACATAACACTTGATCATGATAATAAACAACTGTTACTGGTTTATGTATTTACCACATTATTTTTGAGTATACTCTTTCTACTTTAAAAATCTTTGCTGTAAGACAGTAGCCTCACACATCTGGTGTTTACGTCTCTTGACTGAGTCATTTCTCCTGGGCTTGATTTGGCCTAGTTCTGAACAGTAACCTGCTATACAGGCTTGTAGCCCAGAAGCAAGACGCTGCACCATACACCTAGGTGTGTAGTAGGCTGTACCATTCAGGTGTGTGTAACTGCTTCTGCGATGTTCTCCCTAATGATGTCTTTCTCAGAATGTGTCCCCATCAAGTGTCATGTGACTATTTTCAATCCAGGTTGGTAGAATCCGAGGATGCAGAACCCAGAAGGCCAACCGTATTCTGACTTACAGTAATCATAAAAGTCAGCAGAATCACACTAAAAACACAACAGTAAGGGAAAAAGTATAAAACAATCTTTACAAGGAAAATCTTTAGAAAAACATTAGCAAATATTCAGCATCATAAAAAATAACTATATTTTCCAAAACAAAATTAGTGGGAGAGTGGCATTCAACCTGTCACGAGACTCAGCCGGAAGTGCGTGAAGGAAACCACCGTTACAGACAGGTACCTGGAGACAAAGGCCCCTCTGACCCCCAAAAGATCCGGGACTCAGGAGCCCTCGGATCACACAGAGAACCACTGTCGCCCAGAAGCCGTGTGCAGGTGTGTGCCTGGAGGTCTGAAAGGACACACCCAAAGGGACGATTTTTCACCTACCACTCCAGACAGTTTGTATCCTTAAGGACTCACAACAAGCATGTGTCACTTCTGTTAACTACAAATTCGTCACAGGGTCAAAAACAAGAGTTTCTACACACAAGAAGCTGAGTGCAGCACTTCCTGGGACCATTTTTTCAGGGAGAAGTAAAGGCTCTGTGGCAGCTCATACAGAGCCACCCCCAGGGCCATCTGTTTGTCACATCACAGGCCATCTCCAGTATGCTGCCAAGGCCCCAGCCCATCCACCAGCCACGGTGGGGCCTTGAAAGGTGCAATGAGCTGGACAGAGGACAGGAAGCCCGCGCCCTCCTGAGCCACGCCACCGCCGGGAACGCACTTACTCTGCAGCCACCGCTCACGCCGCAGCTTCAGTTTCTCCTTCTTGGGCAAAATCGTCTTCGCCTCAGCACCTGAGGACAGAGCACATGTGTGATGAGTAGAGCGTCCCCGTTCCCACAGGACACAGCCTGAAGCTTCCACCCACAAAGCCTGGGAACAGAACTGGGCAGGTTCTGATGGTGCCAGGCAGCACTGCCGCCACATGGACCACTGCGCCCACAGCAGCTGGGCTGTCCCGAGGACGAGGTCAGCCCTAGCCTCTCACGGCACCCAGGGAAAGATGGAGCAGCAGCTCCTGCAGTGCCAGGGACACCATGCTGCACCTCAGCAGAATGGCAGGAGGGTGCCCGAAGCACAGGGGTCCCTCTGAAGCAACAGGATGCCCAGACAGGCCTTCACCTACCACCCTCTGCACCGCACCCAGGATGACCTGCAGGAGGACGCTGCGTAAGCATGCTGACAAGAAAGGGCCACAAAACTCAAAGAGGACCCATAGCTACGGAGAACTGAGTGGGCACCTCACAGCACCAAGAGTCCCCTCTGCTGAGCCTGGGGCCTGGGCACACTGGAGCTTAGGCTCACAAGCACCATGGGCTTGGAATTTCTCTGCACAGGCGCTGCCAGAAGCCCAGAGAACTCAGGTGAGTACAGGCTAAGCAAGAAGTCGTCCCACAGCTGATCAATGAATCAACCAAGATAAGAAAACCTACTCCCTTCAGACATGCCTTCTCCCAGAGCCCTCTGTCCACCCTCACCGCCCACACAGGGATGTGTCCCTGGCCTCACCTGCCAGCATCAGGGTGTGAAGTACAACACACACCTTCTCCTTTGTTCCCCAAACAGCTGTTTTCAAAACACTGGCCACCTAGAGGACCCTCTCACTGCCCACCCGACTCCCCTCAGCTCCTGTCCCATCCTCCTCCCCACCCCGTACTGTCTGCTCTTACTTTGTGGTGACTTCAACCACATAGGTCTGTGGCCTCCCCTCCGTCATGTTCCTGTCCTCACCACCGTGGCCTGTCTGCACATCTCTACTGTGACAGGCTCAACTCTGTCCTCCAAATTCACATGCTGAAGACCTAAGCCCAGTACCTCAGAACGTGGCAGTACTGGGGGAGAAGGTCTTGAATGAGGTAATTAAGTTGGAATGAGGTCATATGGGTGAGCTCTAAGCCAGTAAGACTGATGTCCCTATAAACAAGAGGAGATTAGGATACAGACACGTACAGAGGGACAACCACGTGAGGACACGGGGAGGAGAGGGCCGTCTATACACCAAGGAGAGGCCTCAGGAGGAGCAGCCACCCAAGACCTTGCTCTCGCAAATGGCTGCGGTTTGAGCCCCTGGTCTGTGGTGCTGTTACGGCCGCTGAGCTAAGACACCAATGTCTCCTCAGTGACAGAGCGCGGTGCTTCCCGCAGGCCAGCCAAGCTGCACACCTCTCCCCTCCCTGTGAGCAGGCCCCTCCCCGTGAGCACATGCAGCAGCACAAGCTGCTAGGAGCCAAGACGCCATCACACTTGCTAGCCTATGACACTTGCTAGCTCCTGAAGAAACCTGATAACCTCTAGGAGCACTGGGCACATTTATGTCAGTGACCCCATGACTAGTCCCATTTTACAGATGAGAAAAACAAGGCTCAGAGGGGGCCAGTCACAGGGAACTGCTGTGGACCAGGCCTGGAATGGAGTGTGACATGCGGGCTCACAGCCACCAGGCCTCCACAGCAGTGTCCTTGGGCTGGGTGCCACGGAAGCTTCACCAGCACCCCTGGGACCAGGCCACTGGAGGGGTACTGGGGACGGGATTTGGGGGTTAATTCCCCCAAATAAACTATGAACCAAAGTGTGGCCACAGGTGCAGCTCCCAGAGCACTCAGATAATGCACATGGCCCAACTGCAGGACACGGAGAGTCTCAGGTCAGCCTCACTGATCCCCAGGCTGTCACCTCCCCCACTACAGGCAGTGGGGTGGGGAACGAGATACAGAACCCATGCCCCCAACAGGCACTTCAAGGTGGGCGGACTGCCAAGGCGCAGCACAGTGCCCACTGCCCTGGGTGGGAGCCAATGCCCGTGTTGGCCAGACCTGACTCCCAGCCGGACAAAGACAGTCACAGTGTGTCTGAAGCTATCGTGTGGCCCCAAGAAGGCTCAGGTAGTGCCAGCTGGCACATCAGGCAGCACTGGACTCCGCTTGGACAGGCTGGAGCGCCCATATACATCCCGGCCCAGGGGCAGGAGGGGGGACGCTCTGGGGGGAGCCGACACTGCCAGGCTGGCGGGTGCGCCACTCTGGGAGCACAAAGACGACGCAGTCCAATGGCTGTCTGCCCGACGTCAGGACTGTGGCATGCGGGCTCGCACGCGGGAGGGTGGGAGGTCGGAGACACTAGACCTGCCAACGTCATCTCTGCTTCCAGCTTGCTCTAAAAATGGAGCGAACTCCAGGCTGACCACAGTTCCTTGGCCTTAACTGGACCCAGGACGTTTAATACGAGATGTACATCTGGACTCATCTTTACTTCATGCAGATTTTCTTACTGCTACAACCGATCCATGACATCTGAGAAAAACAACGCAGAAACAAGTTCTGTCAAGAGCCAGGTGGTGATTCTGCTCATGTGAGAAACTCGTATAAACCCTGGAGCATATGACTTCACAGGAATTACAGTCCCTTTCCAAGAGTGAGGCCCTACGTGCTGGCCCCACTACACTCCCAGACGTGCCCGAAATCAACAGTAGCCATGGGGAGGGCGACGAGGCGTCCAGCAGCATTTCTGATGAATGACAAAGTGAGAATGATCCAGATTCTGGGGCAGGCCATCCCAGACTGAGCGCTCCACCTGAACCTGGGCAAGGACCAGAAACCTCGAGTCCAGGGCAGGTCTAGCCAACCTGGAGTGTCCATGTGACCCGGCAAGCAGTTTTTTCTTATCTTAAAGATGAGTAAAATTCTCCAGAACCTAAGATAAAAACACTTAAAACAATCAACCAACCAAGCTAAGCACTGGCAGGGTGGGTGGGGCTGGCCACCCTGGGCCTCCTGCTCAGCAGACCAGGCTCCTCCCGTGCCCAAGCCCTGCCCTGTGCCTGCCCTGAGGTGCCTCCATGGCCCATGGGTGCCAGCAGTAACCTCAGATGCAGACCCAAATGGTACCCAGGAGCACAGAGAGAAGGCCCAGTGCAAACTCAGGCACAGGTTGCTTTCACAAGAAAAGCTGAAGGTAAGATGCTGTTGTGTATACAGCAGAATGATGAGCTTTGGAGCTTTGACTATAGAGACACAACTTGGGCAGCTATCTGACCCATTTGAGCCTCAGTCTTATCCAGAAAACGGAAGTGCAACTCCAGCAGTGTTAGTGAGGTCAGTAACCCTCTGCTCTCTTCTCCTAAAGGAGCCTTGTGGAACAGAACACAGAGTTCAAGCAAGGGGACACCTGTCTGCTTCCCCCTGTGCCACCCCTATGCCTGTGCGGCCCACCCCCTTTCCCAGGTCACCAAGGCGACCACCAGTGTGGGATGGTCAGAGGACAGGAAACAGTTTTGCAGGTGCTGACTTCTGGGAGGACATGGTTAACAGGCTATCACACGAGCATGTTCTAAATGGAACTATAAGAAAAATCAATATGTAATCAGCCTTTCTATAAATGATGTCAACAACACTGTGTAAAAGGACATGGGCACAGGCAATGAGAGATAACTATAAGTTACAGCTGATGTGACCAAACTCATAAAATACAAAGGCATTCATGATATTGACAGTCTCCTTATCACAATGGTAACACAACCTAAGACACAGATTTGGGGAGAAAATAAAGCAGGAATTGTTCACCTCTCTCTGTAAGGTCCCAAAAGATTAATGTGTAACTAAAAAAAAAATAAAGCCACAAAAGTACTACAAAAAACACAGAAGAATTACAAAACACAAAGAAAACACAGATTTGACTATATACAAATGTAAAACCTCTGCAAGGAAAAAAATTATGTGAACAAGTGGACTGGAGGAAAGGGGCCCTTCTAGGCAAACTGTCCTGTCAGTGCCTGCTCTCTCCTGCCCCGTATGATGCGAGTGACTCTTTTCTGGGGCCCCCATCACTCTCTCCCTGTCTCCACTAACCCAGCCCATCTTGAGGTTATCAATAGATGGGATGGACCCAGATGAGTTCAGGCCACTCTGGAGTGCTAGCATCCAGCTCCTTGGCACAGCGGTCCTGTTCACACAGCATCCCTCAGCCCAGTGTGCACAAACATGTCCTCACAGGTGCCCACAGGCCATGGGTCAGGTCATTCCACACACCATGTCCAAAGGTGTGAAGAACTTGTTGGGAAACAGAGTGACTGTGGCTTGTTCCAAAGTGGGGAGAGAAGGGAATGCAGGCACAGGACAAGGTGCACTCACGCTGACCCCCCAAAGCCCTGACATGGATAAACCTGGATGCAGGACCCTCCACCACCAAGGAGGAGGCAGAAACTGGCAGGCCCAGCCCTACAGCCGTTCATTCTGCCCCAACCCCTTCCCTCTCAAAATGCCTAGGCAGAGTCCTCTTTGGTTGCTTCCTTAACCTTGCCCTTTCCTGCTTGTCTGTTAAAAATAAAGGGCCCAGCCCGGCCGGGGTGGTTCAGTGGTTGAGCGTTGACCCCTGCACCAAGAGGTCATCGGTTCGATTTCTGGTCCGGGCACATGCCCAGGTTGTGGGCCAAATCCCCAGTGAGGGGCATGCAGGAGGCAGCCAATCAATGTTCTCTCTCACTGATGTCTCTATCTCTCTCTCCCTCTCCCTAAAATCAATAAAGAAAAAAAAATTTTTAAATAAAATAAATAAAGGGCTCCATGCGGACCAGGCAAGAGCAGCCTGACAGCAGGGACCTTCCCACCTGCCCCATGCCACTGCACAGCCAGAGCCACAGCATGTGGGCTCAGCAACCTCCCACCCCCAAGCCGCCAGAGGCCCAGGGCGGAAGCCCAGGCTCTGGTCCTACACTTGGCCAAGCACACAGGCCGTCAGGCCCTGCGGCCAGGACTTCCCTGGAGGCAGTGGAGGCCCTCTCTGGGGCCTGGTGGAAGCACTCCCGCCAAGGACCTACTCCCCACAGCGGTCACCAGAGCCCAGGACACATGCAAGTTGCTCATAACCAGCACCCTGCAACCACCTGGGACAGCCAGCAGCACACGCATGGCAAGGACACAGGCCCCTAAACACAGCAAATGCCACCCACTCAAGACTCCAGGATGCCCGTCCATTGTCCTCAGGGAGCCCACACACAGCTAAAAACAATGCCAAGTAGTCTGTCCAGAAAATGGCTACCCCGAGGCAGTTAATTCCCTCTCCACACCCCTTACTCTTCATTGGTTTCCCTTTTACAACTGGGGGTGGGGTGGAGGCGAGGAAGGGGAGTGGACTGAGTCTGTCTTACTGCTTACTGCAAGGCTGATGGAAAAATGGGAAGAGTCTTTGGAGGGGGACTTTGTGGAAAACTCCTGAACAACCCCTGGAAAGCCCTGGGGTTCCCCTTGTGCTGGAGCCCAGCTTCCCCAGCTCCTTTCCAGAAGCAGGACTGGCCTCTCTCATCTGAGCTTGGCAGCAGAGGAGACACAGCTTTGCTGCCCTCTGCTGAGCAGCCCGGTGCCTGCACCTGCCCTGCTCTGGACTCCTGTTTCATGGGGAACCCCTGCTGCAGGTCAGAGGCACAGGCTGGGAAGCTCAAGCACAGGGAAAATGCAGTCGCTGTACTGTGGTCTGCATGGCCATGAGGCCCAGAACTCTCTCGGCTTGGGGGACACGGGGGGTCTCAGCAGCACAGTCCTGAGACAGAGAAGGTGAGCGCACATGTCAGGGTGTCCCTACAGCAAGATCCCTCCACTGTGGCATCCTTGTCCACTCAACATCACCATCTCCCCAGGTGCTTGTCTGAGAACAGAGAAGGCTTATTCTCTGCAACTTTCCAGCACAAAGGAATATAGGACTAGAAGTAGAAGGGCAGAGCAGCAATCTTGTGAGGGAGGACTGCATCGCCACATTCCTTCAAGTCCCCACCACAAGGGAGAACACAGGAGTGAAGAAGTCCATGAGCCCAGGTGCCCTGACTCTCAGGGCAAAGCCAAGCTTGGCTGGTGGTGGCTGGGGGTCATCTGCAGAGGGAGGTAGGTGCGGGGTGGCCTCTAGCTGAGTAGTTCTGCACAGGAAGCATGGAGCCCTGTCTGCAAGGGGGAATTTGAAGGGAAACGGGAAAGACTGGGCTCCAAAGGCCACAGGGCTCCAAAGGCTCCATGCAGCAAAGCAGGTCCCACTGTGTCCTGGGGCTGCAGGGAGTGTGTGAGCGCACATCTGCCTGGAGGAGGGCAACACACACAAGCACATGGGAGATGCACGATGGACATTTATCCACCCAGGTGATAGACCCACAACAGGCCAGGCTCCCCCCTGGGTGGGCTTGGCCTCTTCTAGTCCACGCTGGCTAAAAGGCAGACACAGCTGGAGAGACGAAAGTACTTCTATTTGTGACTCAGCCCAGGGACTTGAAGAAAGGATGCATCTGAGCTAATCCAGGCAGACAGGTGCCCTCGCCTTCACAGCCCAGCAGGTCACTGAGCAGCACTGAGAAGACTGGATACCACTTTCCACATGACCTGCACCTACCCCGGGCCACCAGCCCCAGCTCAGGCCTGGGGACCACAAGACCCATTGTTCCCCTGGAAGATCCAGGCGTTGGCCAACAAGGAGGGGGGCAAAGCTGAGGAAGGCCAAAACAAAAGAGCTGCTGAAAAGGGAGGCTCAGGTGGGAGACAAGACTGAGACACAGTCACCTGCCACCAGGAACCTGGGGCATCTGGACACCTTGGAGGCTCCTTCGGGAGCTGCAGCCGTTGCAGGACCCAATCAAGAAACCAGGGAGTACTTGGCTGAGCACAGCTCAGAAGCCAGAGGGTCCATCTGAGCTCCAGGATCTTCACACAGAATGAGAGGGCTTGTGTTCCTGTAGCTGCCAAGCAGGACCCACTAGGCTCTGGGCCAGGGTCCCACACTTGGCAGCATCAGAACCTATGGGAGGGTGTGTGAAGACAAGGATCGGCAGGTCTGGGAAGGGGCCCCAGTGGTGCTGGTGCTGACCTGAGGCTCCCTGAAGGTGGGTGCACAGTTTAGCCCGTCTCTCTGTGCAGGTGGAATTGTGACAGTGCCCACAGAGAGCAGTGCTGGAGGGAGGCCAGATGGTCCTCCTTTTCCCAGGTGAGGCCTCAGAGCTCTGAGCTCAGCAAAGAAAGGGGCCAGCACCTATGATGGCCTTGGCCTTCCCCTGCATCAGATCCATGTCTATGAAAGATGACAAAGTGGGCCAGCCCTTCACTGTAACGGGAGTACCACTGGTCAGCATGGCTGAAGAAGCCCAGTAGGACCCCCAGGCAGGCCCGCATAGCACACCTGGCCAGTAGATGCCATGCTCATCTGATGCTCAAGGAACTAACGGTCCTGAGAAGCCACACAGATGCCTTCGAATCCAACAGCCAACAAAGCAGAGCACCGGGAATCCAACTCAGCTCCTGTGACTGAAAACTAATGCTCTGTCCCCTCCACTTCCTCCAAACTGCTGGGGGACACCAGCTGTAGCACACATGGCTTCTCCTCCTGGGTGTGTGCACCACCAACAGGCAGGACAGCATGCCAACCTGGACCAACAAGGCAGAGCCTGTTCTATGAGCAGAAAGTAAACTCAGTCCCACAACCACCAGGAGAAGCGGGAAGGAGAGAGAGAGGTCCCAGAGATGATAGGCAGGAGGGGTGGGAAGAGCCGCCAGGGGAAACTGTCAGAAAAACAGCATTTGTCAGCTCTCTCTCTGGGGGAATAACTTTCTCAACAATTCTTAAAACCCAAGAAGAGTTTTTTGTATGACATGACAAATAGTTGACCTCTAAAATACCTAAGCACTTGTTCAAGGCTAAGAAAGGCGATCAGAACTGCCCCAAGTACTTAGACAAGCCATAAGAGAATCAGCGAACAACAGAAAACTGATTGATTGCATTGGTCACCAAAGAAACTTCTGAAAAATAAGGACTGCCATGAATCCCCTCTCAGGGGGAAGCTTTGTGGCTGTGAAGGTGAGGGAAGGTCAGAGCCAAGATGGCCCCTCATAGACAACTTCCTCCATTTGTTCCCCTCTATTTACCTTCCTACAGTCTGTGCCTTGTAAGCCTATAAACATACTGCTTGTTGCTAAGATGCTATAGAAGCCAAGTTCTCCCCAACCCTTTGAGTTTCTCATCATTGCTGCTTCTCCTGTGTGAAGTGTACTGCACACATTAATAAATTGATTTTCTCTTGTTGATCTGTCTTTTGTGAATCTAATCTGCAGGATTCCAAGGAGGGTTGGGGGAAAAGTGTTTGCTCCCTACAGTTTCAATGCACAAAGAATGGCAAGGAGATTCCCATACATCTCCCCAGTGACATAGCAAAAACCCAGAGCAATGATATAAACAACATAAAACCCCACAGAAGATGCTTGAAATAAGTCATACCTGTGAAATAACCACATATTACAACTCTAAGCTGTTTACAAACTGTAGATAGAAACCTGGAAAATGATACTAAAAACCTGGATGCTGCTCAGTCAATTAACAAGAAATAATTAAGAAAAGTCTGTACGTCAATTCACTAGAGAATCACAAGAACACAAAGAGTATTAGAGCAGTAAAACAAAAAGGACAGCTACTTACAACTTTCAAGATGAGAATGCATGGTAGGACCAAACCAACAGAAACAGATGTGCAGGTCGGGTACAGTAGGACTACCAAGAGACTAGAGTGCTCTTAACAAGGCTACACACCTCTATTATTTTCTTTTTTATTTATTTACTTTTATTTATATATTTTTTATCCTCACCCGATAGTCTTCCATTGATTTTTAGATAAGAGTGGGAGGGAGAGAGGGAGAGGGGGACAGAGAGGGAGGTGGAGGGGGGAAAAGAGAGAAAAAATCAATGTGAGAGAGACACATCAATTGGTTGCCTCCTATCAGACTCTGACTGGGGCTGGGGATTAAACCTGGGCAGCCCAGGTATGTGCCCTTGACTGGAATTGAACCCAAGCCCCTTCAATTCAATCCGACGTTCTAACTGCTGAGCCAACCTGGCCAGGGCCACACCTCTATTATTTTAAATGTGCAACTGTGTATGTGCAGCTCACACCCAGGCAGCATTAAGGCTTCTCTCCAGACAGGGCGGCGGTGCCCTCTCCAGGCCTCGGGAGCTCACTCCACCTCCAGGGCAGCTCGAAGGAGAGCGGAGCTGCTCTCCACTTCCAGGGAAGCTCAGCCAGAAAGACGTGGCCAAGCCTCTGCTGATCAGAGACACATGTTAAAGACACCAGGAGAAGGCAGCCGGCAAATCCAAAACGGGGAAAATGCCCTTCCTCCTTACATCATAAAAACATGAGGAAAGGTCAGGAGGGGATTGCAATGCAGTGTGGGCACTTGTTTGCACCCGGATTTTTTAAAAAAGCAAACACTATGAGGCAATCATGAAGATGAGAGCACTGTGTGTTTATTTGAAAAGAAATTACTGCTAATTTGTTTAGATGTGATATTGGCATTGTAGGTGTTTTTCTTAAAAAAGAGCCCTTAGAAAAGATACTAAAGACTTCATGAGGGAAACTCTTTTGCTTCAAAATAATGCAGCATGTGTGTGTCGAAGGTGGGTGATGGGCACATGGGATTTATTTATACCACTCTCTCTATTTTAGCAAATCTTAAATTTTTCCATTAATAAAAATGTTTTAAAAATGTACAGTTAACTGAAATTTGCTCTGGCCCATGCATATGAATAACTCAAAGCCAGCCAGGCACTGTAAACATACAAGCCCTAAGGTCCACCTCGCTCCCTCTCACCTCTCCTGATGGAAGTAACGCTCCTCGTGTCTAAGTCCAGCTTCTGCACCAAGGTGCTGGGGTCTATCTTGGTCCTGGCAAAGATGTCAGTGTTCACAAAAGCCCACTCCTAAAAAAGAAAGAAAGACGACCACTTAAGACTCGCTCCATGGCCTCATGGTGAAATGCAAGGCCTGTCACACAGCAGGGAGACCCCTGGGTGAGGGTCTCAAGATGTGCAAGGATTGGCCCAGCTATCACAGAGGAGGACCTGGGGAAACTACCCTCACTCCCCAGCAGGGAAGTCCCAGGACCCTCGGGAACTCAGACCCCAGAGCCCTACAGTGGCACCTTCAAATCACCAGGCGGGCCATCCCTATATCAAGGTTTCAAAACCCTCCAAGTCACTCTGCCCATCACACCATGCTCACCCAGAGCCCACCTCCCAAGCCCAACCAGCTCATTCCAGGGCCAAGCTCCAGGATAGGGGCGTCAAGAAGGACCTCAGCATCCACCTCCAGGGTAGACTTACACCAACGGACAGGATGGGATGACGCAGAAACTAGCCTAAGCGCCAAGAAGGTTTTGGGCTGAGTGCACCCACCAGAGCACCTGACAGAGAAGCCCTGGCTCCTGGGGACTTCCCAGGAGCAGTAAACAAGAGCCGTCAGAGAACTGACCAGCACAGGGAATAAAAAAAGCTGGGGCTATTGGGGAACACATGTCGAGAAGGGCAGAGTGAGGGTGTGGCAGACTGTTTCCCCAACAACCATTTAACTGGAGAAAATGTTAAGTCTCCTTAAGAATTTATGGCATATCAGAAACTACCACAGCTTTATCCCTTCCCCCAGCTCCCAGTCCATGCCTATGTTTTCACTGGGGTCAGGGGAAAGGGGTGGAGAGTCAGGCTGCCAGCAAGTTCCCCCACCCCAAGTTACACAGGCTCTATTCCAATAAGGTGAGGCCAGAGAACCAGGGCTTCCTTCCCCTGCCTCCTGATCCCCACTTGTTTGGCAGACACTCCACCCTAGGTAGAGAAGGTCTAGAATACTGGGTCCTGACCATCCTTACCCAGCACTGCAGGGTGGAGCTACTCACGAGCTAAGAAGATTAGGGGTCACTCCCCAGATCCACTTGTAGAGGGGGTGTCATAGTGAGAAGCTGAAGTTGTCCCTACCCACTTCTCTAGTGTGGGCACAGAGATTCCACCCAGGGGAGGAACAGGCTCTGAGGAGGGGACTGACTCTAACAGGACAGAGTGAGAAGTCCTAGCCCAAGGGTGTTGTGGGACACTGGGGATCTGAGCTGGCTGTGCAGCTCACTGCGCCACAACACTAGCAGCAATCAGCTACACGGCAGAACAAGCAAAATGCAACAGAGAGAACACTGCAAAGACGACAGCAAGAGCCCTGGGGTGTAGGCTGCACCCCCTCAAGAGCAATCTACTGCGAGCCCTTCCCCTATCACAACCACCTCTGGATGGGCACAATGGAAAGCATGCCCCAAGCAAATACAATGCCGGGCAAAGGCCCTGCGCACAAGGGCTTATGCATAGAGCCCCTCCAGGAGTGCACCCTGGCAGTCTGGAGGCCAAGAGGCTCTAGGCCATGCTGGCTCAGGAGCAATCACAGGGAAACTCAAAGCTGCTAGTCCCTGGCTGAAGGTGATTAAAAAAATGTGAACTCCTGAAGGTGACAGCAGCCTGCGGGCCTCATGCACATCCAGTGGTGAAGGGCCAAAACCTAACTGGATGAGGGGGCTTACACACAATCTGACTAGTAAGTGGCTTATGCTGATCCAGGTAGCCAGGCGAAAAGATTAAAACAGAAAAATATATATGAGCCAGAAGATCTGAGGCTGCACACTGGAGGGAGAGTAGAACAGACTTCACAAAGTTAGTTCAGAGCCAGGCCAATACACAAGTAAAATGACCAGGCAAACAACATCACCCCCCTGGGGTGCTACAATGCACTTCCCAAAGGTCCAGTTTCCCACAACAACCAAGTATGACACATACAGAGAAACAGGAAAGCGTGATCTAGGTCATTGCAGCTGCACTGAGGGGCCCAGCCTGCATGTTGAACTTACTAAGACTTCAAAGCAGCCATTGCAGTTAAGGCCACAGAACTAAAAGAGACCATGTCTACAGGAGGGTACAATCACATCTCATCAAACAGAGAATATCAGGAAGAGAGAGAAACTATTAAAACAAAATAGTCCGGCCGGTGTGGCTCACTGGTTGGGCGTTGACCCACACACCAAAAAGTTGCTGGTTCAATTCCTGGTCAAAATACATGCCCAGGTCGTGTGCCCGATCCCCATTGGGGTGGGGGGGGCATGCAGGAGGCGGCCAATTGATACTCTTTCTCATTGATGTTTCTATCTCTCTCTCCCTCTCACTTCCTCTCTCTCTAAAATCAATAAAAGAAAAAGAAAAATAAAACATAAAATAAAATCCTGGAGTCGAAAAGTAGTGATAAAAATGAATAATTTCATTTGAGAGATTCAAAACTAGATTTGAGCTGGCAGAGGAAAGAATCAGCAAATTTAAAGAAAGATGGATAGCAATGATGCCGTCTGAAGAAAAGAGAGAAAATAACAGAGCATGACAGACAAATCAATAGAAATAAGTTTACAGAATAGGCTTGCAGATGTGAAAATAAAGGGAAACCTGACTGAAATGGAGTGACCAGTCCAGGAGGGGAGCTCCAGCCAGTACCCACCTGACACCAATTACAGGAAAAATAGTCAATTACAGACCCCAACAGAAGAATCCTCCACAGGGAGGAATCACCAATTACAGGCCCCAAAGGAAAAGCTGTACATGGTATCTCCTATAAGAAACCGACTCCCCAGCATTTCAGCCAATGAGAAACGGTCACTTCCCTGAATTCTCCCTTTTCTCCAAAGGTCTTTCCTTCAAAACAACCCCTCCAACTTCCTCCTTTTCCTGTTAAATACCTCTTCCAACTTTGTTAGACTTGCCTGTGGCTTTTGCTATAACTGGCTTGTTCCAAACTACAATTCTTTGCTATTCCCAAATCCGTTTTTTTTGCCAGTAAAATAACTTTTATTTTTAAGGGCAAGGTGGAAAAATGAATAGCATCTTAAGAGTACCATTCAGCACACCAACATAAGTAATAGATGTACAAGAAAAAGAGAGAGAGAGGGGGGCAGAAAAAATATTCATAGAAATAATGGTGGAAAACTTGCCAAATTTGATGGAAAACACTAACCTATATATCCAAGAAGCTCAATGAACTCCAAATGGATATACAAACTCCATACAGAATAAACACAGAGATCTACATCAGGCACATCACAGCCAAAATGTTTCAAGGCAAAAAGATAACCTTGAGAGCAGTTAAAAAAAAAAAAAAAGATTCATCACAATGGAGGGCACTCTTATAAGATTAACAACTGACTCCTCCTCCTCAGGGACCATAGAGGTCAGGAGGCAGTGGGATGGCATACACCAAGTGTTCAAACTATCTTTCAAGAACGAAAGTAAAAAAAATAGTCCCAAATAAACCAAAGCTCAGAGAATGTGTTAACAGACCTGCCTTCTAAGAAATATTAAGTAAAATTTTTAGGCTGAAAGCAAATGATACCGAACAGTAATTCAAATCCACAAAAACAAAACAAAACAGGGAGCCTAGAAAAGGTAAACATGTACCTAATAATAAAAGAATAATTGTAACAACTTCAGGCTGGGCTGTAAAATACAGTATATAGGAGTGGGCAAAAGTAGGTTAAATTACTAGGCATGAGTACCTAAAAGATAAATCCTAAGTAAGCATACAGAAGAAGAAGGAGGAGGAAGAGGAGGAAGAAAGAAGAAAGAAGAAAGAAGAAAGAAGAAGAAGAAGAAGAAGAATTAATAAATAAATAATACAAGAATAAACTGCTTCAAGTACTCACAACTGTAAACCTACTTTTGCCCACCCTTATATAGATACAATTTGCAAAACAATATAGTATGACAAGGGATGGCAGGAAATGGAGCTATACAGATTGTATATTTCACTGGAAGAAGTCAATACTGAGATATATCATGGCCCTACATTAACCCCTAAAGGACATCCATTGTCAAAGAGTCTCTCTATAACCAAACCCTGCTCAAGCTCCTCTGTGGTTTCCTTGGCTTTTTCACAACACCAAAAGCACAAGCAACAGAAGAATACAAGATAAATCGAACCTCATCAAAATTAAAACCTTTCTGCTTCCAAGGACAATACCAAGAAAGTTAAAAAACAACTCAGAATTTGAAAAATATTTGCAAACCATACATATCTGATAACGGTTTGCCATCCAGAGTATATAAAGAACTATTAAAACTCAACAAAAAGACAAACACAATTTTAAAATGAGCAAGGGACCTGAACACACATTTCTCCAAAAATATATAGCCAACAAGCTCATGAAAAGATACTCAACATCATTGTCCTTAGGTAAATGCAAATCAAAACAATGAAATACCACCTCACATCCACTAGGATGGCTATAATAAAAAAGACGGACAATAACAAGAGTTGGTGATGGGATGTGGAGGAATTCGAACCCTCATATATTGCTGGTGGGAATGTAAAACGGTGCAGCCACCGTGGGAAATGGTCGAGCAATTCCCCTAAAAGTTAAGCATAGCATTCTGTACCACCCAGCAATTCCACTCCATACATCCACTGGAAACTCTACAGGAATGTTCACAGTGGTGTAATTCATAATAGCCTAAAATTAGAAACAACCTAAGTATCTGTCAACTTATGAATGGGCCAACAAAATGTCGTGTGGTATGGTACAGTATACCCAAACAATGAGATGTTTTTCAGCCATAAAAAAAAAAAAATGAAGACAACAAAGAAATGAATGCTACAAAAATAATACTACAGGGAACCTCAAAAATATGCTAAGTGAAAGAACCCAGATACAAAGGTCACGTTAATATAATATTCCATTTATATGAAAGTGCAGAACAGGTAAACCTATTAAGATAGAAAGTAAATACATGGTTGCCTGAATTATTATTAAGTACAGGCTTTCTTTTTAGGGTGATGAAAATGTTCTGAAATTTGTAGTGATTTTTGCACAACTCTGTGAAATACTAAAAAATACCCAGTGAACTGTACACTTTAAATTAGTTTTATGACATGATAATTATATCTCAATAGTTTTTATAAAAACCAGAACACTGGTACCAGACCCTGGGTTCAAACATCAGCTCCTCCATCAGCAACTAAGTGTCACTGTTAATTTACTTAAACTCTCCGCTTTTCACCTACAAATCAAGGGTTAGGGCAGTCAGAAAGATGTGAAGTGACTGGCACATAGCAAGTGATCAATAAACACGGCTGTTCTCATTATAATTACTTAACCAAAGTCTTGGTCCGCACGGACCAACAAGGTCTTGTCTGCTTTCCCGCAGCTAGCCTCTTGGCTGCACCCTAAATGCTTCCAGGGTAGTTCAAGGGTCTGCCCCTGGATAAACAACCCGTGGTCTATCCACACCGTAGATTATCCTGCCATAAAAAGGAACGACGCACTCATATACATAAGATACCACCTGGATGAACGTTGAAAACTGAGAAGTCCAAGAACCCGAACACAAAGGCCACAATGTAGATGACTCCAACCATGTGAAAAGTTCACAGGAGAGAGAAAGTAGTGGCTGCTTAGGGCAAAGAGGGAGGCAGGGATGGGTCTCTTTTCAGTTCGCTCCTTCCTTTTTCATTAACCCTGGGAATTTCCTTTGCATTCCTAGGAGCTCAGCGGGACTTGAAAAGGTTCTGCCACATTTGCGCAGCATTTCTGGACACTGGTTGGAGGTTCCTGGTTCTCTGTCGCGGAGCTGAGGGCGCGGGGAGTCACCCTCACCCGCCATCCGAGTGACAAGGGCCTGAAGGCCACCACACTTCGCGCACCCACAAGGCGCTCAGGTCGCACAGCAAACACGACTGAAGGCGGGCCCAGGGTCGCAGGAGACCTTCCCAGGGAGCCACAGGGCCGAAGCCAGCCCGGGAACCCCCACAAGCGGCACAGAGCGGCGCCCCAACCCACACCCGCCGACCCTGTTCCCACCGCAGCCGCCCAGCGCCCCCCTGCGGTCCCTGCTTTACCTTCCTCCCGACTCCGCCAGCCGAGGCCTGCGGAGGGGCCGCCTCCTGGGCCTGAGGGGCGAGGCCGGGCGCGGACTCCCCGGTCAACCTCACGGCAGCCTGGTGCACGCGGGCCCGCAGCCCCCTCACTTTCCCCATGCCTCGGGTTGAGACCCACAGTGGGCCGGAAGCCACAGGGCGCACGAGTCGGAGCCTGTGGGACGCTGCTCCTGCACTCTCGCAGTCCGGCGGAAACTGGAGCCCGGGCGGCTGGGTTCCGAGGTCCGCCCCGCAGCGGCTGCGCAGTCGCTCGGAAAAGCAGGGCAGCGTAAGGGTGGGGCCGCGGAGGGGCGGAGGGGCGGGGCCGGGCGGGGCGGGGCGGGGGCGTGTGTCCCTGTCCCGCGGGGCCCCAGCCTCTGAGAACCGGGCCTGCCCCGCAGATGCGGTCTAATTGCTGAATCCAGGCAGCCTCATTGTGGTTTGGGGATAATGAATATGGAGCTGGATGTAACAAGCTTGTTGAAAACACACGAGTGTGTTCGCCACACGACACTTGTGCCTTTTATAGTCTCTGAAGGAGAAAAAGAATCAGAGGACTGGGGCAGGGGCCTGCATATTTTGAGAAGTGGTGACCAGTCTACAGTGGAAGATCCGGGACTCAACATGGATGAATCTCAGAGGAGCCCAAACAACTCTTGCCTGAGAGTCCCTTTGTTTTATTAACTGTGCTTGAACCGTTACTTCATGTCCATCTTTTTTTCTTTTTTTACAGCATGTCATTTACTCCTCAAAATAATTCCTGGAAATTGGGTGTAACTCGACCCTTTAAATGGGAAAGAACACAGTGGAATACCTTTTGCCACACAGGAGTCCTGTGCTAGGAAGTTCCAGGACCAGGACCTGAATGAGCTCTGCTCTTGGGGTCTCTGGTTTACTTTCAGGCTCCCACGTATCCAGCCCTGAGAAGCTCGTTCAGGAAAACAAGCTGGGGGTGGGGGTGGCTTTCATCCTCAAGAAGCCCCTTGTCCTGTTGGGGCCACACAGGAGTCCAGGCTCAGCCAGGAGAGAGGACACACCTCCCCCTTTCACTCCCACTCCCCTACACAAGGGAGGCCTTGGGTTCCAGCACTCAGGACTCCACCCAGTCTAGGAGTCCAGAGGAAACCCAGCCACAGAAATTAGTCTTTGGAGAGAAACAGCAGGCCCCACACAGAATTGGGTACCACTTCTCAAAAAGGATGAAAAGGTATTTGCCCTGGTGTGTGGTCTCCCCAGTGCAGGCAAGTCACTATTCTTTTTTATTCCTCACCCGAGGACTAGATAGAGTCGGGAGGGAGGGAGAGAGAGACAGAGAGAAACATCAATATGATAGAGCCACGTGGACTGGTTGCCTCCCGCACAACCCCAACCAGGGCCAGGACGAACCGCAACCGAGGTATGTACATGCCCTTGACCAAAATCGAACCCGTAACTCATTGGTCCCCGGGCCAGTGCTCCGACTGCTGAGCCAAACCAGCCAGGGAGGAAAGTAAATATTTTATTGGTTGTTACAGGTCTGTTCAAGGTGTGCAGGAGCTGACCTGTACAGTTCTAGATTGTTCAACATGGAGGGGACATTTGTAGATGATGAAGGCCCCGAGGTACACGAGGCCTGAACATAAAGGAGCAAAGTCACAGCATGGATCCAAGCTGAGGAAGAACTCCAGAAGCCAGCTCCCAGGTGGGGTACCCCGTTCTGTAAGAGCCACAGGCGATCAGTGCTTTTCCAGGAGCCAGAGACTGCCACCTGCCCAGTGCTTCCCAGACCAGGTGGTTGAAAGGAGAGCCCAGCCTTCTTTGGCTGAACCTCTAGCTGGGCTGAGAGCTAGACTGGCAGGTGGAAGCTCTGGGAAGTAAGGATTTTGGCTCAGCAGATGGGCTTTCTGGAATGTGGAGAAGGCCATGCCCACTCCAAGTCAGGTACCCACCAATCCCATGGGACTTACGTCTTTATGGGGGTGTCATCCATCAAATGTAAAAGAAGCCTGGTTCTAACCAGTTATTTGAGGAAACGAAGCAGTTCCCAGCTTCGCCATGATAGAACAAGGACGCAGAGGTAATTTCTGCTAATGAAAGTCATGCAGGGGTGAGCTACGGGCATAGCACACAGGCACAGAGACAAAGCCCAGCTGGCCTCGAGGACTGTCCTCTTGGCAGCTGCGCAGGGACACTAGAGAACATCCCAGAAGCAGCTCCACTGGCCCAGCATTTCTGACCTGATCTTTAACAAACTGTATCCTCTGCATCCAGCCATCCTCATTTCCTGAGTTGTCCGAGGCAGAGAGACCCCAGCTTGGCTCCTGGCAGGTGACAAGGTTCCCTGCCTGACCCAGCCAGTGAGCAGCTCCAGAGGCCGATAGGACAGCTCCAGTTTCAGGCTTTCCTTTCTGCCTCCCTGTGCAATCCATGCTGTCTCACTGCGAGGAAACAATGGACACTGCTCCGAAACGGATGTGTCACAGCTTTACAAAAATCCTGCGGCCCCTTCTCTCCGTGTCTGTCCTCTCATCTCCCTTGTGACCACCTGTCCAGGCCTCTCCATGCCAGAAGGGTGCCCAGGCCGTGGTCTCCCTGACTTTGACCTCTACGGGAGCTACTCGCACCCCCCTCCTCCCCAGCAACATTTTATTCTCTGGCTCAATGTTTCGTCGCCAGAGGGCACTTACGGGCCAAGGGGGGCACACTCCTCGCTGCTCCACAGAGCGGAGGACAGGGGGGCAGACCCAGGAGTGCCCGGAGAATCCCAGCGAGGGGCCGCTTCTCTCCGACACCGACGCCCTCCAGTTACCGCAGGACGCAGACCACGTAGGAGCCCTAGAAAGACCTCTTCACCCTGGGGTCAGGGGTCCTTTGCAGTAGTGGTGTTATAACCCAGTAATTCTCCATCTGCTAGAAGAAGAAACCTCTCCCGGGTTCCTTGAGCCCAAGTTGTTTTTACAAAAACTCTTGAAGAGATGGATCAGCCATGACCATGAGCTTAACTAATCAGGAGATGCCAGACGGGACAATGAGGCATTCAAGGCTAGAGTTTAGTAAATGTTAAGAAATATAAAACAAACAACTTGAACAGTTACTAACTGCTGATATCTGCTTCTGTACACGTAGCTTGCTTGCTCTGCTAAACTCTTGAGTAACCCCTGTCCTATATAAGCAACCCTCCCCCTGAGCTCGGGGCTGCAGTTCTCCTCTGTGTAGGTTGGCTGCAGTCCCTGCGCAGGTAATAAAGCTCCTAATATTCAAAATTACTTGATGTCTGAGTGAGGATGACTCTCCTGGGTTACAACATTTGGAGGCCCCAGCGAGATCAACCGCGAGGTCCCCCTTTTCTGTGGGGTCGACCTCCTCAGACTACGGAGGGCTGCCTCCTCGCCCTCTGCACCTACATTTGTTCTGGCTTTTGATTCGGCTAATTCGGACTAAGACTTCTGCCTCGAGGATCTGGGTAAGGGATTTCCCCTTCCATCTGTTTTCTGTCCGGTAGCTCCGGAGCATTCTGGGATTGTTGCGGGCGGGACGCCGCTCAACCGCACTTCCCCCTCAGGGTCGGGACGCCGACTCCTGACCTGGGAAACCCGGTGGGTTTCCATCTGTTCTGAAATTGGTACCAATCTGTTTTAATCTGGCACTTTCGGGTGCAGGAAACCCGGTGGGTTTCCATCTGGCACTTTCGGGTGCGTCTGGCACTTTCGGGTGCGTCTGTTCAAACCCATCTGGCATTTTCAGGTGCGTCTGTTCTGAAATTAGTATTTTATGTTTTGACCGCGGTTGTCTGTCTATTTGTGTTCCATGTTCTCTGCTGCTCTAACTGTTTTGCTTTCCGTAGGATGAGACAAGGACCGTCAACGCCCCGTACCCCCCTTGAATGCATTCTTGCTAACTTTTCTGACTTTTCCAGGAGATCCCAAGGCTACAGAACACCAGCCGATCCTGGGGTCCTCCGGACCCTCTATGAGTTGGAATGGCCAACATTCCGAGTTAAATAGCCATCCGAAGGGTCTTTTGACTTGAATCTTTTTGCTGTGAGGTCCGTTATGTACGGGGTTTCCCACCCTGATCAAAGGTATACATTGATATTTGGATTAGAAATGTCAGTGTCCGGAGGTTCAAATGAAAGGAAAAACAGTTTTGTTAACAATGCCTCCGCCTGCCCTGAAGGACAGTTAACTCCTCCCAGCCTCAGAGGAAATTCTATCTTGTCCTTCAGGACCCCTCTTGAGGATATACTAAAATGTTAATTAACCTGAGTTTGCCTACTTTGGGTTCTTATCACAGGGAAAAGGAGAAGATGAATTTGGATCTATTAATGCTTTCAATGCCAGCCTGGGCTGCTCCTCCGCAGCGGGTTTAGTAGCAACTAATTTCCAACAGGCTTCTCTGAACTTTAGGGAATTAAATATAGGGATCCCAGGCACGGGTACAAAGTGCTCTTGGAGAGTTAAAAAACACTCTGCCCCGCATAAACATATGTGTTAGGATATTGCTCCCCTTTCCTGCATCCTTTTGTAAACCTGGGGTCAGGGGAAATGTTCCCATTCCTCTGACTATGGTACTGTTGGGGGAAGGGCTTCCTTAGACACATTTCACCGTGTTCTCTTGTTAGGCCTATTGGCCCAATTGGCTGAATTAGCAAAGGTAATAATAGCAGATTTAAGGGAAACAGGGCACACAGAATAGGGTCACCCTAGGAAGGGAAAAATGAGGAAGGGTCAGGATAGGAGGCCTAGGTCCCGATTAGAGATAAAAAAGACAAGGGCAAAGTCAGGTATAGAGGAACAAAATGAAAAGCCATCCTTAATTTAGGAAAATGACAGGGCTAGGGCTCCTTCAGCTGAGCCCTCCGGAGCCCAGAATAATACAAGACAATAGGGAACAAACTAATTAGTTTCTTGGTAGACACTAGTGCAACAGACTCAGTCCTGACCGAGCCAATGGGACCCTAACCTACCCCTAGACTTCAAAGAGGACTATAGACCTTGGGAAAAATACTGTGACTCATTTGTTTCTGTTCCTGCCGGAGTGCCCATATCCCCTACTCAGACGTGATCTCCTCCAGAGATCATTCAATTGCTGGCCACTGCCACTCGCATCAAGTTCCCCAGGATATTGCCATCAATCCTGCCAGCCTGCCTCCAGATGATGACCCGGAGAAACCTCTGCAGGACTGCCTGGAGGCAATCGACACTGCAGATGGCCGCCCAGA